AGCCGCCAGCCTCGGGCCGGCGGCCAGGCATGAAGAAGGGCAAGCGCGTCGGCCCACTCTACCAGGTCACGGGCTTGCTGAGCGCCTTCGCGCTTCAGGCGGTGCTCACGGCGGACTGGCTGCCCCAACCTCGCAAGCCGTTCGCTCAGCATGCGACGAGCGCCGCGCAGGACGTGGCGGACCACGTGAGGAACGTCAAGGAGGTCTACACCGTCCTGAGCCACGGCCTGGACGTCACGCAGGCGTTCGGAGGCGAAGGCGGCATTACCGAGGCGGCAGAGCGCCGCAACATGACAGCCACGGAGGCGTTCGACCGCAAGTGCGGCTGGGGCCTCCGCAAGCAGAAGGACCTCGAGATGACGCACGAGCGGCGCTGCGCATCGAGGCCGAAGTTCGTGTCGATCGAGCTACCCTGCACCTACTACACGAACATTAACACCTCAACTTCCGCACGCCGCAGGGCAAGCAGGCACAGCGGCGATTGTGGCGCGCGGAGCGGCCATTCCTTTTCTTGGCCCGCGACCTCTTCGAGTCTCGGCTCGACGCAGGCGGCGTCGCCATGATCGAGAACCCGGCCACCAGCCGGACCTGGACACAGCGCATCATGATGGAACTACTTGCCGACAAGCGCGTGCACCAGGTGAGGTGCGAAATGTGCGAGTACGGGGCTCGACACTACACTGCGGGGGGGCTCCTCAAGCACCCCGCCAAGCTGCTCGTCGCCCACAAGGAGTTCGAGCGGCTACGCCGCACCTGCAGCCACACACACCACGACCAGACGCGCGGGGACGACAACGTGGCGGCGCGCAAGTCCGGCTTTGATCCAGCCAAGTTCTGCCGAGTGGCGGCGCGCATCGTCGAGCAGATCATTCGCCAGCAGGGTGGGCCTCGCGCGTGCCAGGTGGACTGCAGCGCATCCTCATCGCCCTTCATCGCGACGGAGTTGAAGGAGCAGGCCGCCGCCTACGTGAACGACGCCGCGCCCCTGGGAGAGACGGGCGAGCCTATTGGGGGCCCAGACCCCATGGGCGGCGGAGACGACTTCGCCGACACTCGCGACGTGAAGGCCGACGAGACTGTGGACGGCAGGATCGGGGTCGGCGCGATCACTTTCACCAAGAAAGCAGCAGCCTGCTGCAAGCCAGCCGAACTGGTCATGCTCCAGAGACTCCACATCAACTTGGGCCATCCGTCGAATGAAGACTGGGGCCGCAGTCTGCGACTCAAGGGCGCTAAGCCGGCCACCGTGCAGGCCGTCAAGGGGCTGATCTGCGGAGCGTGCTGCTCGCAGCAGCGCCCGAGCGCAAGGAGACCAGCGCACCTCCACTCCGCGCAAGATTTCGGCGACGGCGTGGGCTTCGATTGCTTCGAGCTCAAGGACGTCGACGGCAAGAGCTACTGGTACTTCAGCATCGCCGACTTGGCCGCTACCTTCCACGTCGCGACGCTGATCGGTCGCCACACCAGCCAGGAGTTCGCCACGGCCTTCGAGAGGTGCTGGGCCTCCTGGGCCGGCGTCCCGGACCGAGCCCACTTCGATATGGAGAGGGGGTTCGGCGGCGTTGTCAGCGAGCTGTTCCAGTCTTTCGGCACGGTGCAGCTACCTATCGCGGGACAGGCCCCCTGGCAGCTCGGACGAGTGGAACGTCAGGGAGCCTGGCGGAAGGAGCTCGCTGCAAGGAAGATCGAGCACGCGTCGATCAGGGGCGAGGACGAGACGCGGACACCGGGCATCATGGTGTCGGGCACGAAGAACTCCCTGAGGCGGCGGGCCGGCTCCAGCCCCGCGCGGTGGGCGCTGGGGGGCGACCCCAAGGTGCCCGCCGACCTGGTGGGCGACACGGCCAACTACAGTGCCCACAGCCTCGCCACCAATGACGAGAAGATCCGCCGCCGATATGCTATTCGGACGGCGGCGCGCGAGTCGATCATGCGGATGAAGCACCACGACCAGCTCAGACGACCTATACTGGCTCGCGCGCACCGTGGCCACACCCATGTCAGTGGGCGAGATGTGGTACATTTTCCGCCAAGTCAAGAAGAAAGAGCAGAAGGAGCAGCACAACCGCAACGCCAAGAAGGGCATCTGGCGAGAGCCGTGCGTGGTCATCGGTCACCAGGGCAACAACGCCTGGGTCTCGCTGCGAGGGCACGCCATGCCGGTGGCCCTGGGGCACTTAAGGCGCTCGCTCCGGACGACGTCTGGTTCCCGAACGGTCGGGGCGAGATCGGCCAGGCCGTGGCCGAGCGCAACAGGGCTCGCGATTCACTCGAGCAGGAGGAGGCCCCGGCGGAGGACATCCGCCCCGAGCCGGGCCAGCCCGAGGTCAGGCGTGGCGGGAGTTCATCGACAGCCCAGACGACGACGGCCTGAGGTGCTGCCCGCCGACCGAGCCGACAGATCTCAGCCAGCCTTGGAGGAGCAGCCCCACGGCCCCGTCGAGTTCCGACGACGGCGAGCGACCGTCGACGGGGCGGACGGCGGCGACTCCGGCCCGGCCCTCGAGCGCCTGCAGACCGCCAAGGGGCACGCAGGTTCTGGGGGACCGCCCCCGAGGACAGCCTCGCGCGATCGGGCGGCCGTGCCCGGCGGCGGAGCAGCGGCCGGATCCGAGCAGGAGGGCGCTAGAGAGCGTTCGAGGTCGGCTCCCAAAGAAGCGATGCAGACCTCCATCGTCACCGAGAGGATCAAGCGCAAGCAAGCCGACAAGGAGATCCACTGGAGGGCCATCAAGGACTCCGACGGGAAGCTCTACCGAGAGGCGTCGGCCAGGCAGTGGAGCGAGTGGCAGAACTACGGATCCTGTCAGGTGCGCACCATCGAGGGGTCCGAGGCGGTCGGGGGCAGGGTCAAGGCCAACCTCATCTTGCCCAGCGGGTTTGTGTACTGGGATAAGAATGCGCCGCTGCGGACTGACAAGCACCCGCTGCCGGTCAAGGCCAAGGCCCGACTCTGCGTCGGGCGCCACATGGACCCGCGTCTCGCTCAGGGCGACCTGCGCACAGACGCGCCTACGGACACCCGCAACTCGACTATGCTGTTCTTCGCCGTCTGCCACCTGGAGGTTTACGCAGCGGACGTGGAGGCGGCTTTCATGCAAGGCGACGAGCAGCCCGACCAGCAGTTGCACATGGCTCAGCCCCGCGAGGGCTTACCTGGGTTGCACCCGAAGCAGTTGATCAAGATCCTCAAGGGAGTTTTCGGGCTATACACCGCACCGCGACAGTGGTGGGCTAAGCTCAAAAAGACCTTGCTTGTAGTGGAGGAAAAGCTTGGTGACTACGTGTTCCGACTTCGCCAGCACTCGCTAGATCCAGCGCTGTACTACGGCTACGACAAGCACGGGGAGCTGTGCGCGGTGGTGGTCGCCCACGTGGACGACCTGCTGCTGGGCGTCTCGCCCAAGTACCCGACCCTGTACGAACGGCTCTACAAGCTCCTGCCGTGGGGCGACTGGAGGGGTTTGCCATACACCTTTTGTGGCAAGCAGCCGCGGCGCGATGAGGAGGGTGTCCTACGCCTGCGCCAGACAGGAGCACGCGAACACGATCGAAGAGATCGCGCCCAGCAAGGAGCGCAAGACGGAGTTGTCGGCGGAGGCGACGCCAGCCGAGTTTTCGGACAACCGCTCCGCCCTCGGAACGCTTGGATGGCATTCATCGCAGACTCGACCAGACCTGTCAGCTGGAGTGGCCGTGGGACAGCGCACCCAGAACAAGCCCACCATCCAGGACTTGCTCGAGACGAATCGGCTCATCAAGCTGGCGCGGAAGCGCGCGGACGTGGGACTGTAATTCACGAAGCTATGTGGACCACGTTGCCTGGTCACTTCCCACGACGCCAGCTGGGCCGATGCTGACGAGCCACCTGAAGGTGTCATAGCTACGCTACCCACCAAGATCGTGGGCAGCAAGGACAAGAATATCAAGATCCGCTCGCAGGCCGGCTACGTCACGTTCATCGCCGAGGCCAAGCTGTTGTGCGGCGACAAGGCGCGAGCGGGAATCGTTGATTGGCGATCAGGCCCCCAAAAGAGAGTTTGCAGATCTACTGTGGCAGCTGAGACGATGTCAGCAGCCAACCGACCAGGCCCGAGAGCATGAGGCACATATGAACAGTGCCGGCTCGCTTGTTCAAGCGCGCCATACGCCTGGTTTCAGGATAGAACGCAGCAGGCACTCGGCTTCAGCTTAGTTGATTGACGTGAGAGTTGACACGTCCAAACGATCTAAAACCAGAGATGCACAGATGAGAAGAATGCGGCACGAGTGTGAAATATATGTATATATAGTGCCCGCGCTGATGTGTAAGCAGTGTAGCATAGCATGCCAGCAAGCGAGCAGAGAGTGATAATATTCAGGCGAGAGGTAACATGTCCTTTCGTATCCATTTGGGCTCCAGGGCCCTTGAGCTTGGGCGTATCGGTAGGGGCCATCGCGGGTTCCGCTAAGCAGCCATGTTTCGCCATCCATTGCGGATATTATTGAAATCATTGCTGTATCTTTGCTGACATACAACCTCGCTGTTAGTTTTGCACTACGACCCCGCTTTGCAGCATTGGGTCTACAGGGGAAGGAAGCAGATGAGGACGACGCCGCGGAGTAGGACGATGACGGGGACACGAGGATGAGAAGCAAGGAGGCGAGGAGGATGGACGAGAGAGAAGGATAATGAGGACGAGAAAAGCGGGGAACTAGGTGTAGAGGGTACGATTCAGAACAGAGGATACAACGACAGGTGCTAGTGGAAGCAATGAAGCCCTATGCGTCACTGTCGAGTTGCTCAGGTTAACGGCTTGCTTTGTCTTCGAAATCAACAACTGCGAATGAAATGTGAACGCGACCTGCCTGGAACGCCGCGATGGCGATTCAAAATGGGGCCGTATAACAAATGCTCTTACATTAAACCAAACTTCCCTTGCTTCCGTGGACATCAGAACCGCGCAGCATTACTACCGACCCCTCTCGATGCGTCAACACCCTCCCTCCCAGGGCGCTGCCCAGTCGGGCGTCTCCATCTTCTGCCACTTGCGAAATGCGTTCAGCCTGAATTCGAGCATCCACTCCGGCTCCTCCTTGATGGCCGATATCCGTCGCACGATGTCCTGGGCGCAAGACGGGCCCTCGAACGAAGTACTCCAGATGTCGTAATAAAAGGGAGGGGGTCTGGACCCTCCAAGACAAGCCATTTCAGACCTCCCCCGTGGGAGAACCCGCCAAAACATCGTCCCCAGACCCCCCCAGGCCCTCCAAGATAGCCTGGAAGAGACGCCCCCCGAAATGAGACCCCCCTCCCTTTATTACGAAATCTGGAGTACGCATTCTCCATCTCTGCCCTGGGGACACGGATCGTTGCAACCACGTTCTCTCCCTCTCTCTCTCTCTATCGCTCGCTCTCCTTTCTCCTCCTCTACCTCGCCCTCTCTCTCTCTCTCTCGCTCTCTCGCTGTATCCCTATTTGTGGCGATATCTGCTCCGCCCCCACACCTCAAACGTCATCCCCCCTTCCCTGCATTTTCTCCCTGGCCGTCGTTTCGGTCCCTTGATGGCGCAGATGGCCTCAAATATTGCTTCCAAGAGAGCTAATTACGATACAGCTCAGGATGGTCCAAAACGGTTCAAGAGGCTCTGAGGACGGCCTGAAGACGGCCTCAGAGGCCCCAAAGACGGCCCAAGGAGGGCTCCGATAAACTCCCCGGGAGAGCCCCACGAGGCAAACAACAATGCATGATCATTTGTTTTTCGTTCGCCGATCACTGCAAGCCATCAAGGAAGATCGGTCAGATGCATGGATGTGTTGGCATCCACAGCACCGTCGCGCTCGCCAAAGCTCCACCGGGGGGCTCCGCCTCAGCAAAAAAATTGCGACGTGCTGCTGCCCTGATCACATATAATCGCTCACGACTCGCCAAACACGAGCCGAGCATAGCAAGCGCACTACTTAATCGTGACTGAAAGACGGTCCACAAGTTCGACTGATTGCAATGAAATTTGGACTCTGGCTAGGTTCAAGAGTTGAGCAGCCGAAGTGCGAGTCGATAATGTTCAGCATTGTGGGATCACCCCCCATGATCTGGATAAAAGGCATGTATATCCAGTGCCCCGCACCAGTAGCCTTGTGATGATATGGGTGTGTGGCTGAAATCCTCAGAGCCTGTATGAAAGCCTCGACGTGCTCGATGGGCAGAATGAAGAACAAGTCAGATAGCCTTTTTTCCCGTTTCCAAGAATCCTCGCCCTCCTTGTGAGCAGCATTCGTGACGTTCCACCTCACATTTGCCAAAGTTATTGGTTCCCTAAGCTTGAGGTCGAAGCGGGTCAATACGACAGCGTCGATGGACTTCTTGTCCTGGAGGCGCCTGGAGGACCAACTCGAGAACCTTTATGATACTGTCAACGATCAAAGAACTCAAACCGTCCTCGACATCACTCTCGAGATTCTGCTCGTCCCCGTGTTCGTCCTCGTCCTGATCGCGCCGAATCCGCGTTCCTGCTAGATGGTTTGAGAAGTTGTAGCGGGCCGGACGCAGCACGCGCACGAGGCGATCGTCGCGCTGCTGGCTGAGGAGAGCGTCGTCCTCACTTTGGTAGGTGTGGAAGTAGGTCTTCACGATGGCCCCAGCTGCCTCCAAAGGCCCCACAAGCATCTCCCTATGGGTGTCAACGTTGGAGAAAAAGTCTGAGCAGATGAGCCTGCCATTCTTCGCCCCGTGCTTGGACCAAACCTGGCGGTGATAGTGGCCACGATACGCAAGTGCCACGCGGGCTGGTGGCTTGCAGCTGGGGCAAGGGACTGGGTGCCGCCAGCCAGCTGGATCCGCGGTGCTCCACACTTCAGCAATTTCAGCCGGGCTAGTGGGATCGCGGCGGGGCACGAGGCCAAAGCAGCGCCAGGGCCAGAAACCAATTAAGGCCGCCAGTGATAGAAGCGATGTCATACAAAACGTGCTTCGGCTGAGTTCGGTACGTGGAACACTCCAAAGCTTGCGCTTGAACCCGAATGGCAAACTATGTAATTAAAGACCTCCTGGGCCATCTTGAGGGCCCCCTGGAACGTTATTCAGAGCGCGTGAGAGTGGTGGCGCAGCGGTGGCCCACAAAGCGCTGGCGCTCTGACGCTTTTGACGCCCCTGACGCCCTGACGCTCCTGACGCTCCTGACGCGCCTGGCGCCCCTGACGCTCTGACGCTTCTGACGCTCTGACGCTCCTGACGCCCCTGACGCTCCAGGCGTCAGGAGCGTCAGGGGCGTCAGGAGCGCCAAAAGCGTCAGGAGCGTCAGGAGCGTCAGGGGCGTCAGGAGCGTCAGGAACGTCAGGGCGTCAGGAGCGTCAAAAGCGTCAGAACGCCAGGAGCGTCAGGAGCGTCAGGAGCGCCAGGAACGTCAGGAGCGTCAGTAGCGTCAGGAGCGTCAGGGGCGTCAGGGGCGTCAGGGGCGTCAGAGCGTCAGGAGCGCCAGGAACGTCCGGCGCCGCCGCTCGAGACATCCTCACAACTCCGGCGCCGCCGCTCGAGACATCCTCACAACTCCGGCGCCGCCGCTCGAGGCATCCTCACAACTCCGGCGCCGCCGCCCGAGGCGTCCTCACAACTCCGGCGCCGCCGGTCGAGACATCCTCACAACTCGAGAGCCGCCACTCGAAACATCCTCACAACTCTGGCGCCGCCGCGCGCTTTGGGGGCAACCACTGCGCCACCACTTCTTTTTGCAGTGAGCAGCCAAAGTTCCCACGCTACAGATCGACGGGAATCCCTGGGTTTCAGGGCCGAGCTTATTGTGGAAGGTCTCCTGTGGCCGAAGTTCCTATTGTGACCGCTTGTTCCTCCACCGCCGCTGACCCCGGGCCAGGGAACGGCCGAGGACGACGAAAAATGTCGATCCTCGTCTTCCGATCTCAAGCCTTGAGACTCGAGCTTCCCTGCAAAATCGGCCCGTGGACCTGTCGAGGGGCGCGCTCTGGCCAGACTCGAGGCGCTCTCCAGCCGTGGCGGCGAGGGCGTCCCAGGGCGCGGAAGAGGGGGCGAAAGATTTGGACAAGTCTCGACCCTCGAACCTTGACGGAAGGGGAGGACGGGGAGGAAATGCGCGACGACGACGAGAACCCGGGATAATTTTTCGTCCTGGATCCGTTTTTGACGGTCCCAGGCCCCGACAGCGGCCCCCAGAGGCCTAAAACGAGCAAGAATCCTTGAAGGTCGGGGATCGACGCCATACTACGACGACGACGACGACGCCGGCGGCGGCGGCAGCGACGACGTCTTCGGCGGCGGCGGCGCGTTTTTGCTCGACGTTTCCGGCAAGATTTCGGGCCCTAGGGGGCCGTCGTCGGGCCCCAGGGCCGCCAGAAACGGGCAAACCAGAAGGACCTCCGACTCGCCGCGGTGGGGACAACGCAACGCGATATTGCCTGCCCGGGCGGGGCATATTCCTCCTGCACACGCTCCTTCTCGTGTTCCTCCTCTCCCTCATCGTCTTGGCATCTCTGCCCCATCCTGCTCTCTCCGAGCGCGGGCGGCAGAACGAGGGGGAAAAGGCAGTCGATGGGGGGCTTGGCAAACTTGAGATGACGGGTGCGTTTTCCGTAGCCTGGCGCGTAGATCGCTGACGCGGCGGCCGATGGGCGAGGAGGAATGGAGGAGAGGAAGACGAACAGGGCGGCCGAATCAGCCACCGCGCTCTGAGGTGCAAGTTGGAATGCCCGCAGGTCCCCTGCCTAATACCCCCGAACCGACAGCTCGAGCCTTCCGCCCCAAGATGCCACCGGGAGGCCCCAAGAAGCCCCCGAGCCACCCTGGAAGCCCCAGGACGACCCTAAGAGACATCGAACTGCCTCCAAGAGGTTTTCGAGAGGTCTCCCGCGACATCTCGACGAACATCGAAGAAGCTCATGACCACGAACCCAGGCACGGTGGTGGAATGGGCCGAAGGCAATACAAGAGTTAGCGGCTGGCCCAACCACGGGAGGTAGGGCAGTGTCGCCCTCGCCCCTGCAAAAAATTAACATGGCATTGCGCCAACCTGCATGCAGCTCACTGCGAACTCTGGCGAGCGGCGTCCGCCAACTCTTGCTCCAGCCGCAGAGCTGTCTCGGGCTCGAGCATGAGACGGGCGCGTTCGCTCTGCTGGAAATACATGACGTCATCGTCGACCCACGCGGGCAACGCCGAACTGTGGAAGTGCATGTACAAAAACCCCAGGAATGACAAGTCTGCAAAACAACTTGAAAACTTTCTCTCCTACAGTCTTAGTTTCGGATGGCCAGTGCGAAGCAGCGATGGCCCAAGACTGTTCGACTGGGACGGTGCCGGATCGAGGGTCCACGCCGGCGGCCCGCAAGCCCTCGGCGCACTCTTGCCACGCAAGCAAGCCGCTCAAGCGTCGCGACTTGAGAAGGCGGCTGCAATGCCGCCGCAGCTTCGAATTGAAGACGCATCTGCGGCCGCGCACCTCCTGGGCGCAGGCAGGGCCGACCCTCAGGATGCCGCGGCGGCGGCGCGCCTGGCGCTTGGGGCTACTGCACCAGCGTCGCATTCGTTTAATTTCCCGCTTAAAAGCCTCGCGGCTCCTGTAATTATCCGCCGCCGCGCCCCAGGGCGCGACGTGGCGCGTGGTCAATCGCTCTAACGAGATGTCCAGCATCTCCCGGGAAGCTGCTAAGAGGTCTCCGAGAAGGCCCCCGAAACATTTCCCAAATGCTTTAGGGCCCCGCCCGCGAGCCGAGAGCGGCGGCGGGGCGGGCCGAAGGCCACGAGATGCCACCCGTGCGCGGCGTCGAGCTGGGCCCCTGCTCGACGCGCAACCCGCGCGAGCACGGGGCGCGGCGGCTGCGCGCCGAACGCGCTCTTCCAGACGCCTTTCGCGCGGAGAACCCCTGGCGACGAGAGGAACGCGCGCAAATCGCGCGCGCCGTCTGGATCCTGCGCGAGCGCTTCCTGGAAGGACGCGGCAGACTGACCCACAGCAGTCCGCAGGAGGTCGCGCCCGCGCTCTCCAAGCGCCGGCGCGGGAGGCGCGCCTTGCGGTTCCTCGGGTGGGCCGCGGGCCGCGTTCAGCCGGCCGATCAGGTCAGCGTGGTCGTGGCAGAAGTCCGCAGGAGCCGTCGCTCTCCGCGCCCGTCATGGCGCGCGGCCGCGCTCCTCGTCACGTCATGCCCCGTCGCCCCTGCGGGGGAAACCGAACAAATGAACCAGTGCTGGCTGGGCTCTGGCGCCCGGCAGTTCAATGGGCCAGCCGAGATCTAGGGGCGGCGGACGCGGCGAAGCCGACTGGATCCGAGCTGTCGTTCGCCTGCGGGTTCACGCACCTCCTCGCGTTGAGGACGTCGTGGAACGGCTCGCCCGCCACGAGCACGCCGACGGAAGGCGCGACTATGCCGCGCGCGGCGAGTGGGCCGCGCGGAGTGGCGCCAGCCGTCCGCACCCGGGCAAGCTGGCACGCCTCATCCACCACGTCGGCGTACTTCTTGAAGTGCTTGCTGTAGGAGTAGGTGCTGACGAACGCAGTGCACGCGTCCTCCAAGGACATGCCAGCGGCCTGGCGAGCAGAGACGATGTCCGCGAGCAGAGGCTGCAGCACGCGCTTGATGTCCATCCAGGCCCCCCCGCGGACGGGGGCGACAGGCTGCAGGGGCGATCCGTCCGTCCCGCAGATGCCGAGCACGCAACTGAAGGGCTTCTGGCGGGCCTTGCCGGCACCTCTCCAAATCTTCTTCGCCAGCTTGAAGTTGCCGTCCACGCGCAGCCCGGAGCCGTTGTAGGCACTCCGCAGGCGCCGCATCTCAGACACTCTCCGCGAAATCGGGGCGGAGAAGGCGCGCAGGGCGATCATGCCCAACATCTTGCGCTTGGGGAGGGCGAAGGCGATGTTGAAGAGGACGGCCCGCGCGTCGGCGTCGCTCAAGCCCGCCTCCGCACCGCGCGCGACGGCGACGTGCTCCCCGAGCAGCTGCCGACGGCACTCGCGGAAGTTCAGCGTGTCATTCAGGCAGAAGAGGAATCTCGCCAGGAACCTCCCAGTCACGTAACAGCGGCCCTCCTTCTGCCCGCCCTCCGCCGCGTTGCCGCGGATGACGATCGCGTCAGGGGCGACGCGCACCGCGTCCTCGTCGGTCGCTGGGAAATAACGGCGATGCCCGACGTCGTCGCCGCGCCCGCCGCACGACGCCTGCGGGCAACGCCCATGTTCGTGGACAGCCCTGCACGTGAAGCATACCCACCTCTGGCGATCCAGCTGCACCGGCCATGGGAAGTCCCAAACGTAGCTCCCGCGCCTGCATTCCCCGCTCGGCTGCAGCGCGGCCTCCCCCTGCTGACGCGCGACCCGGTGCTGGAATTGCCGGGCGCGATCGTCGGCGGCCTTCGGGGTCACGAGGGCCGGCGCCGCGGGCCGCTGGCACGCGGGCGCCGCGACGTTCATGCCGGCGAGGGCGCGGCGGAAAGACTGCAACATCTGCGCGTCTTCCACGAGAGCGCGCGGCGCCACCGATGCTGCGCGTCCGCCATCCGGCGCGCTCTCGGGCACGCGCGCCATCCATGGAACCCCGCGGACGATCGACACGCAGCGCCACCGATGCTGCACGTCCGCGAGATCAGAGCCGGCACACGTGGCCAAACCACGCCGCAAACTCGTCCTGAGCACGTGCGCGCCGCCAGCGGGGCCCGCCCCAGAGCCCTGGACTACGGGGGCCACGTCGCACCGAAGGCGGCCGCGGCACACGAAGGCGTCGAGGACGACCACCTCCTCGCCTCGAAGTTTGCCAGCGAGCCCTGCCCGCGGGGCCAGCGTCTCAGCCGGGCCGCCGTCGCCGCTAACAAGTCCTCATTGGAGCAGTCGGGCCAGCGCGCCCCGCGCGCGCCCCGCGCGCAAGCGCGACGCCAGGCGCGCCCGCTCGTCTGCCCGCGCGTCAACGCCTGAGCGGGCGGAGCCCCGCCGGGCCAGCGCAGCGTCCAGCGCCGCCGCGTCGCGCGGACCGAGCTCTGGCAGGGCCGCCCGAGGCGCCCGCGCCTTGCGCGGGTGCGCCGGTGCTCTCGGCCCCCGCTTCGGCCGAGCGGCTTGGCTCGCGGGCGGGCCCACCTCGGGCGGCGGCAGCGGCCGCGCCTGGGCAGGCTCTGCGCCGCGCTCCCCGCGCAAATCCTTCCAAGTGGGCCTTTTTCTGGGCCACGGCGGCGGGCCCCCGGTCGGGCCTCTCTTCGGCGGCATAGACGCTCTGGTGGTCGAAGACGCGATCAGCGAAAGCCCGGGCCTCTGGCTTGAGCCCAAATGGTTGCAGCGATGATGACGACGATGGCGATGCATGAGATCACCTAACCGCGGCAAGGGGGGGCGCAACGCGATATCGCCCGCCCGCGCCTGCGCCGCCAACCGCGGAGATGATTCAAGATAGCCTAAGAGGGCCCCCGAAATAGCACGGACAGCCCACGGTGGCCCCCGAGACGGCGCAAGGCGGCATAGACGCTCTCTTGAAGCGAGCCCACTGGGGGCTATACAGGCTCTCTTGGGCCGCTGCGGGGCTCGGGCCGCCCCGGGGCCGCGACGGAGCCCCCGTCGGGGACCTATCGGGCCATGGTCAAGCGAAGGGGCCCCGCAGACGAAGCAGAAACGCTGGGGGCTGTTTTTGCTGCAAGTCCGGCTCTGGCGCGCGGGCGCGCGAATCGCTTTTGCCGCGGCCGAGGAAACGAGGGGTGGCCGAATAATTGGCGGCTGGCGCAATCGCCGCGCGCAGGTTGGCAGCGCTGTCGCCCCGACAGCGATTTGAAGCAACGGTATTGCGCCAACCTGCGCGCGCCTCGGCAGCAGGGCTGCGGGGGCGCCTTCGAGGATGCATGCGCCGCTTCAGGCATCGGGGAAAACCTCTACCGAGACGCCGAGGCTGTGGCGAAAGGCCGCTTGCTCCTCGGACTGCTCGAGATAGCCCACCTCCACGAAACCCTGGTCCGCGCCGGGCGCCTCTTTGAGCACCCCGCCCGCAACCAGGGCCGCCACGGCAAGCTTGATGCGCGGCATCAGCGGGCCCACGCCCGGCTCGGTCGCCGACGATTGACCAGTCCATGGCGAGGGGGATGCGACGCTGCGCGCGGGGCGCGTGCGACTCATACTCGCTAAAGAGGCCGTGCCGCGCCAGCCAGCCGAACATGTTGGTCATCAGCGCTGCCTCGGCCGCCATCGTGGCCTCCGCGAGCACGCGGCACCTCGACCTCCACTCGCAGTCCGCGAGCGCATCTGGCGGCACCTTAGACTTGGACCGCGCGCGCGTCAAGAACAAGCGCCACGTGCAAGGCAGGCGCTGCGGAATATCCGCCACCGCGCCTAGAGGCACGAAATGGCGCGTTCACCGGGCCCCCGCGGCCCCCGGCCCTCAACCCTGGGGAAACTTCGAGAGGCCCGCGAAACATGCTGCATGCATCTGGTGGAGCGCCGCTACTCACTGGCCTCGAATGACGCGATCCAGATTGCTTCGCCCCCATCAGCGGAGCGCCCCCCGCGGCCAAATGGCCTCGAACGACGCAACCCAGATTGCTTCGCCCCCGTTAACGGAGCGCCGCTCCGCTAAACGGCGTCGAACCGCGCGATCCGCCTTGCTTCGAGCCCGCTAGCGGCGAGCGCCCCGCTAATGGGGTCGACGGCAATTTGCAGAGCGCCGCCTTGGCACCGTTGGCGCCGCTTCGATCGCGTCGTCCGCCCCGGAGGCCCGGGGCCTACAACCCGGTCGCGGCGGCGGGATGGGCCGAAGGCCGCTCGATACAAGCAGAAGGAACTGCCGAAGTATTCATTGATGCACTCGTTGAGCTGCCGGAGCTTCGGCAGCGCCGTCTCCACGGCAAGGGGGGAACCGTCGGGCATGCCCTGGGCGGCGGTGAGGAACGCCCGCGGGGCTGGCCCCGCGAAGATGCACTCGCACCGGATGCGGAAGAGAAGCGCGCATTGGGGGCAGAGGCATCTAAGAGCGAGGCTTCGCCCCCTGATGCGGCTGTCACCGCCGCATCGGCGGGCCTGCCCGCGCGGCTGCACACGGCGCACCCGACCAACAAGAATATGTCCGAGAGCATGAACTTCAGCGGGTAGCAGTGCACCCTGGACGCAAACGGCAGCGACGGTGACACGGCGGGGCGACCCAGTAAGACCAGCGTAAGCAAACTGAGCACGAGCGCTTCCGTCACCGCGAAAGCTCGCTTCACCAGCCCGGGGTCGTCCTCGCCAGCCCGCGCCATCTTCACGACTCTGTTCAAACTGCTCAGCTGGCCCGCGATGGCGAGGCAGGAAGCTATCCATCCTGGCAGAGCGTGCAACAGGTGGTCCATGATCCGGAAATTGCAAACAATCGGAACACCGAAGCTGCGCGGGTACGTGCGCCGCCTGCCGCCGCGTCTGTCGAACCACCCAGTGACAGACGACATCAGATGCAGTTTGCCGAGGACAGGTGCGCGGAAAAAACCAGCAACCGCCTCGCTCGTGTCCGGCGTGACGCCGTCGCAGAGATGCCGAAGAGCAGCGCGTGGATCCCGCATCGCCGTATCCTCGATGAACTTGGAGGTCCCCGTGTATCGAAGCATGCAATCGCACGACAACCACGCAGCCAAGCGAGCCTCGGTCGCCGGCGCCGAACGGAAAATGCGTCGATAGATGCTGACCGCACAACACGCGCGCGACCTGAGCGCCGCGCCCAGGCGAGGCTGCCTGCCCAACAAGGGCGCGTGCGACACAATAGCTCGATGCAGCGACGGGGCGCGCTCTAGCCCAGACTCCACGCGATCCCAGGTTTCCTTCGGGACCAAAACGTCCGGCTGGACCACAACTAAGAGGCAATAGAAGTAGAAGAACGCGCGGAACAAAGGCTTGTTGGTGAAACTCATGTGGACAGCGATGTGGTCAGAAGCGTTGCTAAGGTTTTCGGACATCAAGTCCGCTCCCACCAAATACTTCTCACTGTCGTCTCCTTGGTAGGATATGCCCGTCCATGACGTAGGCTCCCGGGTGTCCTCATCGTGTTCCTGGTCTTGCTCGCTGTCAACATCGGAACAATCCGAATCCGACGTGGCTTCCATGCCCGCTGGCCGACCTGCTGCTTCTGGTGGAAACGCTGGGGGGGGGCAGACGCCGGGGCCTCAGCCTGGCGGTCCCATCGGCCCCGTCTTGACACCCCGCCGTGCTCTGAACACGCGGGGCGTCCGTCCTCGGCACGGCACGTGGTGTAACGCGGACAATCTGCAGCGCCCTCGCACCGAGAGCGTTTCATCTTGAGCCAACGCTTCGGAGAGAAAGACAAGTAGGAGACAAAGGGAGAAGAGCAGCACGAGTAAAACGATGGGGGGTGAAGAAATGCGGAAGACCGCATGAGACGCAAGAGGAAGGAAGGACGGGGAGAACTATACCGAGGATAGGGAATGGCGCGAGCAGGAACACCGGAGAAAGAAGAGGAAATATGAGGATACTCCTTATGTCTCCCCTCTTCACCCTGTGTTCAACACTCGGGTAGTTCTGATGTAAGCCTGCTGTCTCGTATAACAGCCGAGTGTAGCCGCCGGGGGCCGACAGCAGCAAATAGCACCCGATGGCAGCTAACGCGAATCCAGCCGTAGCGACGAGGGCCCCCGAGTGGTGCTCTGAATGCACAAGAGTCGGGGATGTCAATCGAGTGCCTCGTACGGGATATCCCCACGACCTGCTCTGATACAAGTCGCGTCACAATTAACTTACCAAATCTGTCGATCGATATTTGGGGCTAAAAGTGTCCCCATCCGATTCTTACCATTCGTCCTCCTCCCCCATCCCCATCCTCCTCTTCCCGCCGGAGTTGTGGACGCCCCTGACGCCCCTGGCTCTTCTGACGCTCCTGACGGAGTTGTGGACGCCCCTGACGCCCCTGGCTCTTCTGACTCTCCTGACGCTCTGACGCCCCTGGCGCTCCTGACGCTCCCGACGCTCCTGACGCCCCTGACGCTCCTGACGCCCCGCCAGATCTCGAGCGGCGGAGTTGTGAGGATGTCTCGAGCGGCGGCGCCCGAGTCGTGAGGACGTCTCGAACGGCGGCGCCGGAGTTGTGAGGATGTCTCGAGCGGCGGCACTGGAGTTGTGAGGATGTCTCGAGCGGCGGCGCCGGAGTTGTGGACGTCCCTGACGCTCCTGGCGCCCCTGGCGCTCTGACGCTCCTGACGCTCCTGACGCTCCTGACGCCCCTGGTGCTCCTGACGCTCCTGACGCTCCTGACGCTCTGACGCTCCTGACGCTCCTGACGCCCCCGACGCCCCTTGACGCTCCCTGGCGCTCCCTGACGCTCCTGACGCTCTTGACGCTCTTGACGCTCTGACGCTGCTGACGCTTTTGACGCTCCTGACGCTCTTGACGCTCCTGACGCTCTGACGCCCCTGACGCCTGGGGCGTCAGGAGCGTCAGGAGCGTCAGAGCGTCAAGAGCGTCAGGAGCGTCAAAAGCCTCAGAGCGTCAGCACTTTTTTCAGGGGCGCGCTGCGCCAGCTCTCGCGCGTGAGGTATTTTGGACCATGCGAGGGGGGCTTTCGGGATCCTCTTGGGAGCGTGTTGCAACGTTGTTGGACCATCTTGCAGCCCGCCGCGAACAATTCAAATATGACGTCGATTGAGAGGCCCTTCCTAAGCCAAGCATCTAGCAAATCAAACCAACATTCCAACTAGGCTCGGCCTCCTTGGGGAACCTCGCCAGACAAGAAGAGGAAGCGCTGCATGCCAGGATCGTTGGGTTCAGACTCTGTCCGCGCTTCAGACTCCGCCCTCTGGGTGGATCGCCCACCCCCACTCGTCGCCGTCATCCGTCGTCTATTGGGGTCAGCTTGGAGTCATCGCGGGGTCGCATCAGGATCGCGGGATCAACTTGGGATGCCTGGGCAGGGCTGTGCATCCGCATTTGTGTGAGACATCTTCGCCAATGAGCGCCTCTGTTTCAATTCAGCTATGTTTCCGGGCTCGCCTCGTCAGTTTCGCGCCCAGGAGCGCGTATGAACACTGCGGTCTCCAAGACCCCTCGTCCTCCTCTTTCCCCTTCCTCCCTCCTCTATGTCATCGTCGTCTTGCCTCTTGCATCTCTTCCGTGGGGGCTGCGAATTGCGACACTGTCGCCAGTATCGTAAGCCATATGGAGGTCCAGCGGAGTTATGTCCCACGGCGATCAGAATGGGACCTCGCCGTTCCGGGGAGCTGCGAACTGCGCAGCTGTCGCCACTTTCGTGGGCCCCAGGGCGGTCCAGCGGAATGGGGTGCTCCAGGACGTCCTGGAGGGCTGAGGTTGAAGCCATAGATTTTGGAATAGCGTTCCAAACACATTCAGCCCCAGGTTTTGGAATGCTGTTCCAAAAGCATTGACCCCTAGATTTTGGAATACCGTTCTAAACACAATCAGCCCCAATGTTTGAGCCTGCGCTATCTGTTCACTTCTACCCGCCGCCGTCGCCGTCGGCAGGTTTAGTCGGGAACCAGGGGGGGACAAGTTTGCCATCGCGTTGTGGTGTGCAGTTTCGCTCTCATCGTCATCGTCGTCGGCAGTTGCGTCTGGAACCCGGGGGGAACTTTATCAACGTGTTATGGTCTTCACTTTCGGGTCGTCGTCGTCGGCAGGCTGTCCGGAATCAGGCGAACTTTGTTAACGTGTTGTGGTCTTCATTTTTGCCATGGCCGTCGTCATCGGCAGGTTCAGTCCAGAACCAGGGGGGTAACTTGGTTAACGTGTTGTGGTTTCTATTTTCGCCGCCGTCGTCATCGTCGGCAGGTTCAGTCCGGAACCAGAGGGGGCAACTTTGTTAACGTGTTGTGGTTTTTCATATTCGCCGTCGTCGTCGTGCTCGGCAGGTTTTAGTATGGAGCCAGGGAATAACTTTGTTAACGTGTTGTTGTTTTCATTTTCGCCGTCGTCGCCGTCGTCGGCTGGTTGAGTCCGGCCGCCACAGTCGTCGTCGCCGTCACCGTCGCCGCCGTCGTCGCAGTCCCCTTCTACGTGGGTCGTCGTCACGGTAGTCCGCGTGTCGTCGTCGCTTGTCGCTCGTCGTCGTCGTCGTCGTCGCCGTCGTCAGAACAGGACGAGACGTCGTCATCGCGTCGTCGTGGTCATGGTCGCCGCCGCCGCCGCCGCCGTCGTAGTCGTCGTCGTCGTCGTCGTCGTCGCCGTCGCCGTCGTCGTCGGCGTTTCGTCGTCGTCATCGTGGCTCGTCGATGTCGTCGATGTCGTCGTCGTCGTTTCGTCGTCGTCGTCGTCGTCGGTCGTCCTCGTCGTCGTCGTCATCGTCGATGTCGTCGTCGTCGCCGTTCGTTCTCGTCGTCGTCGTCGTTCGTCGTCACTGTCGTTATCGTCGTCGTCGTCGTTCGTCGTCGTCGTCGTTTCGTCGTCGTCGTCGTCGTTGTCGTCGTCGTCGTCGTCGTCGTCGTCGTCGTCGTCGTCGTCGTCATCGGTCGTCGTCGTCGTCGTCGGTCGTCGGTCGTCGGTCGTCGTCGACGTCGTCGTCGTCGTCGTCGTGTCGTTGTCGTCGTCGTCGTCGTTGTCGCCGGCCCCGGTCGTCCCCCATCCTTGGCCTACTGCATGGCGCTTACGAAGGCCCCCCCCCTTGGCTGGCAACATCTGCATCTAGCAACATTCATTTACCCATTCATCGTACTCGGCGGTCCGGTCCCCGTCCATACTGCGGCGCCTACGCACCCCCCCCCGTTCCATTCCCCCCCCCCTTCCCCCCCCCTTCCTCCCCCTCTTCCTCCCCCCTTCCCACCCTTCCCCCGGGCCCCCCTCCCCCCTCCCCCTTCCCCCCCTTCCCCCCCCCCCTCCCCCCCCTCCGTCCTCCCCCGCCCCCTCCCCCCCGTCCTCCCCCCTCCCCCCCCTCCTTCCCCCGGCAACATTTACTCCTCCCCTCCTTCTCGTTTTTGCGCGCGTCGTGTCGTCGTCGTCGTCGTGGCCGTCGTCGCCGTCGTCGGCGTCGTCGTCGTCGTCGTCCGTCCTCGTCGTCGTCGTCGTCGTCGTCGTCGTCGTCGTCGGTCGTCGGTCGTCGGTCGTCGGTCGTCGGTCGCGGTCGTTGGTCGTCGGTCGTCGGTCGTCGGTCGTCGGTCGTCGTCGTCGTCGTCGTCGGCGTCGTCGTCGTCGGCGTCGTCGTTTTCGTCGTCCGTCGTCGTCGTCGTCGTCGTCGTCGTCGTCGTCGTCGTCGTCGTCGTCGTCGTCGTCGTCTTACCTGTGCTCAGTGGAATTTTAAATTCCTGGGACATCTTGGGCGGAGGCGCCGCGAATTTTTAATTTCCAAGGGCCGTGAAAATAAATATTGCACTGCTAAAATTAAGTTGGAGGCTCGCGTAACGACGTGTCTCCCAGATTTTGCGTGTCCCATTGAGGCGGAAAGAAATTGCGATGCGCCCCAAGACACGCGACGCGTATGTACAGCCACGGCATACTTTGACATAGCATAGCATCGTAGCCCTACTTGGGAAGCATGGCGTGCCATGACGAAATAGCATTGCGCATCACGACTCAGCACAAAATAGCGCACCACATCATACTTGGCACTCCTTGCACTATCATTATTGGTTCGGTTTGTTTGCACGCGCAGCTCGAGCACACGAGGCATCGTGCACGAGGAATTATGATAATATGTTGCGTTGACGGCTTGGCCCTCGTCGCTGCCGTCGGCAAGTGTCGTCGTACATATGTCCCCCTGGCCCCTGGCCCCCTCCTGTCATTGTTTCCCCCCTCCTCCCGCCCCCTTTGCATTCTCCCCAGCGCCCGCCAACTTCCCCGCGCTCTGTTGCCCCATGGGCTGCTTCGGCCTGGGAGGATGCGCGGTGGCAACTTTGGGGGGAGGGGCCCTTTGCCGCTGCGGCGCAGCACCACCCCGGAAGCATATTCGGACCAGCCCCATGGTCATCGCGATGTGCGTTCCTCCTCCGCCTCATCCTCCAGCCGTTGTTTCTCTTCTTGTTCCTCCTCCGACGATATTTGTTTGCAGTCCATCCGCCTCCTGGCCCAGGACTGCACCGTGGGGGGGCGATCAGCGGCAGCATCGGCGGCGGGAAAGGATGGAGGGAGAGCAAGAGAGGGAGGAAGA